AATACAAGGGTAATAAGTTGAGGCACGTCCACACGGTCATGATTCCCCATGAGTGTACTTGGTCATGCTTGTACTTATAAAGTGTGCGTACGTCCTGTGTAAGGGAAAAAGGTACGTCGAGTAAAGTGTACGAGTTAATACGGTCTTGTAGATTTAGGCTTTTTCGACGTTGCGGAATTAAAGAATAAGAACTGACACCACGAACATCTTTGTCGTAAGTCCAAATTAGCGTCACAGTCTTAGGCTATAAAACAAAATTTATCAGTCTTTATAAATTAACTATATATATTAAAATTACTTTGTTATTCTGTGGGTAAACATGTAAACAACACGGGACATAAATAACCAATATTGGCATTGAGTTCAGTGTAAACCACTATTTATATCAATGGGTATTGCCGATAAAATCATGTAGGCTCACTAATGACATTTCGTCACATAAATTCTATCATAAATGTAAAATGGGTACCTAGTCTGTAGATACCAGGAAGTCCACCATTGTGGTGGATTTTTGAGGAAATCTCTGTCGAAAAGTAACTTTAATTACCCTCTTATTATTTACATGAGAGTTCAGTTACAAAGAAATATCACATATATGCACATGAAATAACCTAAGTTTAAAAAAAATACAATTCTCTATTGGCATTGCCTACTTTACAGACAACTTGTAGGTACCTACACTATTGATAAAGAGTAGATACAGTTATATGGTAATGTAAAATATATCTGGTCATGTATACAAAGACATTGTTTCATTGGTCGAAATGGGAATACAATGTAAACTCTACACAATTGACTGAATTATAGTAGTAATAAATGTTCATATTAATAATTGTTATCCTCTAAAGGAATTCCTTGCTTATTACAGTTTTAAAAATAAATCATAATTATAATACATCCTGTGTAGCTCTTTATTTTCTAAAAAAAATAAGTTCATACATTTCTGTGCAAGATATATGAACCCTTAATACGTCAGACTTCCATTAAATTGGAAGTAATTGACATCGGACTACCATTAAATTGGAAGTAACTGACTTCGGACTTCCATTCATTTGGAAGTAATTGACTTCGGACCACCATTAAATTGGAGGTTAATGACTGCGGACCACCGTTAAATTGGAGGTAAATGACTACGGACTTCCATTAAGTTGGAGGTAAATGACTTCGGACCAACATTAAATTGAAGGTAAATGACTTCGGACGTCCATTCAATTGGAGATAATAATTTCCAATCTGTTTAGATCGCCCCAAAAGTTTCAAAATGTCGAGCCAATATTGACGCCTGAAAAATTGGACCTTGAAGGGAATAGCGCTTCAGTAGGGATACGATGGGAGAAGTGGAAGCGATCTCTACGGATTTACCTGGAAGCAGCTGATATTAACTCTCCGACAAAAAAGAGAGCTACATTGCTTGTGTTAGGTGGAGCAGGATTACGAGAGATCTTCTATAATTTGCCCGGGGCATCTGTAGAAGAAAAAAAAAAGGATAGACGTTTTCAACGTTGCAATTGAGAAACTCTATAAGTACTTCCTTCCTAAACACAACAAAACTTATGAGAGACACATATTTCGACTCATTAAGTAAGAAGCGAATGAATATTTTGAAAAATTTCTGATAAATTTAAGAAACCAAGCTAGTAAATGTTAATTCGATAATGCCGATGATCACATAATTGACCAGATAATTGAGAGATGCACATCATCAGAACTTCGGAAAAGAATACTGACCATGGGGGACGAAGTGACATTAGATAAAGTAATAATAGAAGCAAATACGCTAGAAGTGGTAAATCACCAACTAGAGAGCTATGAAAATAAAGAAAATTGTAAGGTCAATGACGTAAACACAGTAACAAACAGGAAGAGTGACCTACCAGAGAGGGGAAGGACGGAAAAGAGATTTAATGGCGAGAATTTTTCTCTAAAATGTAGTAGTAGTAGTAATGTAGTTCGGCCCGCGATAAGAAATGTAATGGATGTGGAAAGTTAGGACATTACCAAAGATGCTGCAAAGCAAAAATAACAAGAAGGAAAAGAAAAGCAAATGAAGATGAGGACAGGAACAAGTACAAAAAATACGACCTATCAAGACAGCAGTGAATTCGTTGGAAGCTAATCACATTGACTACATCATTGACGTAGATAATGATGCTACTTTAAAATGTGATATAGGAGAAGTAAAATTAGAAATGCTGATAGACTCTGGCTGCGAAGTAAATTTAATAACGGAAGAAGCATGGAAACACTTAAAGACCAAGAAGGTTATCTGTTATAAGCAAGTTAAAGAACCGAATAAAGTAATGTTTGCATATGATAGTAAGAGACCTTTAGTCGTTATGGGATCATTTGAGGCTGTGATAAAAGCTAACAACAAAGCAGAACAATCCACAATCTACGTCATTAAAAATGGATCTGGAAATTTACTAGGTAAGGATATTGCAACGCGCTTGGGAGTCCTGAAAATGGGTATTGGTATAAACCAGATAACAAAAAAATCGTTCCCAAAATGTAAAGACGTCTTAGTTGACATTCCAATAGATGCATCAATAAAACCTGTTGTTCAACCCCATCGAGTTTATAAGAAGAATATCAATTCCTATAGAAGAGAAAATAGAAGCCAAAATAAAAAAGTTGCTCAATTCAGATATAATAGAAAAAGTACATGGACCATCCTTCTGGATTTCCCCTATTGTGCCCATATTAAAAGTCGACGGCGAAATCCGGTTATGTGTAGTTATGCGGCGGGAAAATTCAGCTATGCTAAGAGAAAACCATCCATTACCATGTATGGAACATTTGCTACCAAAGATAAGGAAAGCGAAGTTATTTACTACGTCAGACGTCAAAAACGCTTTCCATCAATTGGAACTTCACCCCGACATATATATATATATAACATCAAGTGGGCTTTACCGATATAAAAGACTAATGTTTGGGGTGACTTCGGCACCGGAAACACTTCAAAAAATCTTGGAAAAAATTCTCATTAAATGTGAGGGAGTTATTAATTTTATAGACGACATTTTAATTTATGGGAGCAGCGAAGAAGAGCATGATACACGAATGTCAAAAGTACTGGAAGTGCTGAAAGACAATATTGTTCTGTAAAAAAAATGCCCATACAAAGTGGAGGAAGTAAGTTTCCTAGGACACGAATTAACTTCAGAGGGAGTAAGACCACTACCAAAATATATAAAAAGTATTTCAGAATTTCGAGTATGAGTGGTTCTAACGTTTACCATGAAATTACTCCTTAAAGTATAGTTTATAAACATTTATATTCAGGGTAAACTTACAAAACGCTACTTACGGTATGGTTTCAATAAATAAACGCCGAAATCACCAGCCCAAACAATAACACACACGATTGTCGTGACGTATTTTTGAAGTTGTTTATTTATTTTAAATGACAGACCCAGGCATTAAAAACTTTATGGTTTGCTAGAGTAGTTACCGAAATAGCAATTAATATTAGTTTTTTTACCTGTTATAACTTCGATATCCGATAAATCGGTATAAAATCATCACTCGTCCTCTAGGTGTGGTATGCGTCTACGGCTGCATGTATCGCGTGAGAGGTTATTTTGTTATTCAGCGTATTTTTATTAATAATCTCAATACAGAGTAGGGTAAGGGGAGGTATATTATTGATTAATTTGGTTATACTTTTTAAACAGAACACCACACAGTTCCCTATGCAAGTACATTCATGAGACAGCGCTAGCGAGTTACTCGCCAATATACCTTTCCGTACCCTACTAAAAAAACCGACCTGAAAAGTTATTCATCTCCTAGTTTGCCACCCTTAGAGGTGGAATATTTTAATATTTTCTTCAAATTGAAATGGGCCCACAACTGAGGTACCCTCTTTCCAACAAAAAAAAAAGAATCATCAAAATAGGTTTACAACGGTTCACGGTAACATATATTATACTAAAAAGAACGTGCCGTCGATTGGAAACCTTCTCCTTTTTTGAAGTCGGTTGAAAACTTCTATTATTGTAATATTAAGTTTATGGAATATTACGATGTTTTACTCCCATGATACTTAATTTTATTACTGAACTTACTCAGAAAAGTTCCTTCGATACCGTGTCTGACGCGACGCACTCCCAACTAAGTTCTGAACGAACCACACCTTACGAATTTTTCTATGTGCTAGTACGCTAGTACATAGATATCGTTAGCTTGTTGCAGATGTTTGTTTTTGGTTTTCTAACGACTTTTTGCCGTCTTTTGTGAGAAATCTATGAAATAAATACAATAGTATTACAATACAATAAGTAATACAATAGTATTTATTTCATAGATTTCTCACAAAAGACGTTTAGTAATAATTAAAGTACCGGCACACTATGGTGGCCGTTTTGACAGATTACAATAGCGAGGTGAAATCTCAATTCATTATCGAAAAAAATTGAATCAAATGCGAGTCGCGTCTATTAGTTTTTAGATATATAACGAGTACTGCAAGGGGTAGCTGATTGAAAAGTGAACAAAAATGTTTACTTAATGTATTTCGCATTAGATTTCATTTTAAAAAATTTCGATTTTTCGAAAAACAAATGCCGAGTTGTGTCGTAAAATTATACATTTCATAAATTTTACTGCATGTCACTATTGACAATAATGTACAGCAATTAGCTCATTCAACGTAGTTATGAATTAATATGAAACTTGACGAGCGGACAAACGTCAAAACGGCCATCATAGCGTGCCGGTACTGTAATATTAAATTAATATTTATTTTACGTACATTTAAATTCTTTATTTTAATTGTTTAATATAATTTGTTAATAATAAATGAGTTAGCTTCACAAGATATTGTGTATTTTTTACATGCTTGTGATATGACAAATAAAGCTTTACAATTTTTAGAATGTATGTGATTACAAAAAAGCCAGCTTTTATTAACATCTATGGCGCTTTTAAAATTGTGATTGTTTTCGATTTTATAAGGCACGTTTCCAATTACCCCGCTTGGCTTAAATTTAAAATGGTTAAACATCCGTATACAGTGACACATCTAACATGGAAAACGAGCATTGTGCAATGGAATGTTCGCAGTCAGTTTCAGTTCCTTTGTGCCATTTATCTGTTGCTGAAGACTGTTGTCTGAAAATTGTGAAGAAAGAGTTGTTTATTTAACTGTACGTTCTTTTTATCCTAAATTACGTTCAATTGAAAAAACATTCCAGAAACTTCTAGTCTTTTGAAAGGGACAGAATGACAATTTAGGAAATGTTAACTGTTTGTATTTTAACCGCTGTTATTGTAAACGGCATAAAGTTAAATTAAGATCTTAAGGTTTACGCGTGATCCTGTATGTAATAATCTAGTGCAATTTTGTTAAGTCATATTTAATCATATTTAGTACAATTCCTAGAATTATTTCACTGAATTTATTCAGTATCTTAAGTCTGGTAAAAAGAGTTCCTAGACGAAGCTCTAATTTTAGTGAACTATTTAAACGTACCTGAAGACCATTTTCAAAATTTTGTGGTAAATGCCTCTCGGTTGAGGAATCATTTTCATTTCGCAAATGGCTCGCCGTATGCAGTGCAATCCGTTCAGTCCATTCCTGAAAGCGATCGTAGGTAATTTGGCTATATGTATTTTATTTTCAAGTAACTTAGGTTACATTTATATTTTTACATTACGCATAATTTACGAGGTTACATTTATTTATTTATTTATTCATTCATTTACATTGCAAACTTACAGCTATATAGCTCACACTTACATGCCATAAACAGATAATTATAAATATATTTAATTAAGATATTATTAGCCGCTCACGCGATGCGCTCATCCTACCGCAAAATGGCGGCTGTTTGGTTTCGCAAATTAGAAAAGGATTCAGTTTAAATACAAGTTTTTATAAATAAAAATTATTATTCTGCATTGCTAAATAAATACCCTCCGTACTACAACAAAAACATCTCAAATAAAAAGCAGTAATACACCGCAAATCCTGCACTTAAAAAGCACTAATGAAATTTTTGGTGTACTTGAGTAAATATGATAATATTCCGTTTGAGTGGTTCTAACGTTTACCATGTAATTACTCCTTAAAGTATAGTTTATAAGCATTCATATTCAGGGTAAAGTTAAAAAACGTTACTTACGGTATGTTTTCAATAAATAAACACCGAAATCGCCAGCCCAAACAATAACACACACGATTGTCATGACGTATTTTTGAAGTAGTTTATTTTTTTAAATGACAGACCCAGGCATTAAAAACTTTATGGTTTGCTAGAGTAGTTACCGAAATAGCAATTAGTATTAGTTCTTTTACCTGTTAATTAATAAATAAATAACTTCGATATCCGATAAATCGGTATAAAATCATCACCGGCACCTCTAGGTGTGGTATGCGTCTACGGCTGCATGTATCGCGTGAGCGGCTGTAATTATTCTATTTCAAAAAATTTTGATGACTCACTACATATATGTATATTCAACGCTATCAGCAAATAGTAAAATTAGAGCTCCTTGTGAGAGAGTTCATCCAGTGTGGTACTGCCGCCTTACCTATATCTGTCGCCAAGCAGAAAAGTCAGCATTACTGTGTTCCGGTTTTGAAGGGTAAGGGTGTTGATAAAATTACAGGCATATGGGACTTGTCAACTTATGTCTCAGGGTGACGGATGCAGTGGCAGTGCCCTTAAGATCTTTGCGATTTAAAGCTCTGGGTGGCACTGCAACTGTTATGGACAGGCGTGTAGCTTACCATCAGGCGCAATATTTGTTCGTCCCGTCACTTAACATAATAAAAAATATGTCAATGTGATTACACTGAGTGACTATGTCCCCGATCAGGTGTATAGCGCGAATGGTAGGCACGTCATATACACGTAGGCACCAGCATATCAATTTTAGAAATTATATCAATATCCACCTCATGATGGAACGCGGATTGAGCCAGAATAAGCATCTTTCGCTACGAGACAAAGTGCCTAAGTCCACCATATCCGCAACAAAGTGCAAAGGATATAGACACAAGTATGGGTAATACTTTTATGACGGCATCATTTTCAAGCAAGTTTCATATATCGTTTCAATAGAGTTTCCTGTGAATCGTCCAGGAAAGTACTGCTAACAAGCCTACCTTTGCCACTACGTAGTAATATTACGAGTACTGCGTTCCGTTTTTGAAGGGTAAGGGTGCTGATAAAAGTACAGGCACATGGGACTCGTAACTATATGTCTCTGGGTGATGGGCGCAGTGGCGTGCCCCTTAGGTTTTTGCGAATTAAAGCTCTTAGTGGCACTGCAACTAGCATCGTGAACTAAAAGTTTTGTTTGCATCTTCCTCTGTCTCACAGTTGAGAAATGGAATTTCCTTCCAGCATGCTGATTTTTATGCAAATCGGAATAGAACCGATCGGGTAGTCTCGAAATCAGATGGGTTTCTGAGCGAGAAGATGAACCTGATTCCTACAATATCAGTCTAATTTGGGAGTTAAACCAACTATAGGAAATGAAACTATTTTTCCGGATTTAAATCGCGTATATTTGTTTTTTTTAAACAAACCGACATTTCGGGCCCCTTACAGGTCCGGTAAAACCGGAAACTATGTGTAACAATCGCGAAAACCTAAAAACTCGATAAATCAACTATTGTGCCGATTAGAAATGTCAAACATTTCCGATCGTCAGTTGTGAATAGCAATTATGCGCCTCGACTCGGAAAAGACGCAGTTTCCGATCGGAAGAGGCAATCATAATCAAGCTGCAGGGCACGTATTCCCTCCGTCTTTCGATATGGGGTCCTTCAAACGAGGCGTGAAGAGGCATCTTGTAGGCATGCAGGGTCGAGGTGGTTAGGGCAGTCCCGTATCTTTCTACACAAGTTTTGTTTATAGTGCCCCTCCCTATCAACCTCTTCGTTATGCGGGAAGGGCACTATGACCTGTGCGAGCGAACCCGCACAGGGACCATCTAAGTCAGGTCCTAACTCCGGATCAGCACGTTTGCACGTTACTTCATCCGGTTCTCTGTAAGGCCTTAGGTGAGCCATTCCGGGTGCACGTACAACACCCTCCCTGTTTTCCAAACACGTACCGGAGCTGTAGGCATGCTCACTTCCCGTCGCGCTCCGCACGACTAACGGTTGTCACCGCTGAGCCGCCGACTCTAAGCCAACTACCAAATCTCCTCATTGGTGTCGGAGCCGGAGGTGGCCTAGGGCAGTGATTGCATCAACACTGCACTAGGCTCCTTCACGTTTGGATTCCATTTTACAGGTGACAGGTGGAATGGAGTCATCTGCCTGTCATGTATAAAAAAAAACTGCAATTTACGAACAATTCATGAGCCTTGTGGTGAGCGACACTCCTTACACATAATACTTACTCTTTTAAACTTGAATCCCGTATGCTGGTAGTACTGTTCTGAACGAACTCATTCTCAAAGAGTTCTACTGTTACTACGCACCAAAAGTGTCTAGGGTTCAACCACGTTTTTGCCAATTACTCAAAATCTGGTTTTTTATTAATTTTTTTTAACACCGTTGGATGCTTCTTGATATTTTTTTTTTAATTTGAATTTGAAAATGATATTGACCAAACAAATCCATTGTTGTTAAAAAAAGTATTAATGAACCTGATTTTCAGTAATTATAAAAACTTGCTCCCTAACTCGACTCTTTTGATGTATGTACTTTTTATTTGATTTTGTGTTTCAACATGTTTTATATTTAAAATCACGGAATAAGCGACATACGTAATGGAAATCTTATATGAACACTTTCTATTCTCTTACTAATATCAAATTACATTCTAATCAATAAGCAGCTAATATGGACAATTTGCTTTTGTAGTTCCATTATTCGACAATGGTGTTGCTAAGGGCCTTAAAGTTTTTACAAATTCTACAACATCAATGAGAGATTTGACGCACTGTTTTGTTAAATGAAACATTTTTTTATAACATCAAGTGACGAACAAGTCGTGTGCCTGATGGTAAGCTACATGCCTGTCCGTAACAGTTACAGTGCCACTCAGAGCTTTAAATTGCAAAGAACTGAGGGGCACTACCACTGCGCCAGTCGCCCTGAGACATAAGTTGACAAGTCCCATGTGCCTGTAAGTTCACCAGCATCCTTATCCTTCAAAACTGGAACACAGTAATGCTGACATTACTGCTTGGCGGCAGAAATAGATAAGGTGGCAGTACTACCCTGGACGAACTCTTTCACAAGGAGCTCTACAGCTACTGGAAACATAATTATGGCTACAAGGTAACACCTACTTCACAGTTCTATTAGTTAGTTTATTCAATGTATAAAATCAAAGGATTTTTCTGATGATCAAATTAGTTACTTGATACTTGGATTGTAATGGGCTGGTGTCCGCAACTCGACGTCAAGGCGCCTATTTTGCGTGACCAAATTAGTTATTGTTTTAATAACACAAAAAGTTATTTAGTAAAGTATACTAAAATATCGTGGTAAGGTCATACTGCAAAGATGCTGAAAATACATATTTATTAAACGAGACTAACAAAACAAAGAAAGCAGCCTTACTTGTCCATCAAAGTTTCCAGATGACTGTAAACAGTTCTTCTATACAAATGATGATAAGGATGGAAGGAGTCTGGTGGAGCGTCCCAATTCATACGAAAGCCGAGTGCTTGAGCGAATATTTGACACCACGGTACCATGTTTGCTTTGGTGTTTAATCGGAGCTGAAATTAGTACAGAAAATGTTTTAATTAATATAGTCATATTATGTTTTTAGATTTAACCTCAAGTATTTTCCTCATCGAAAATTAGTCGTAAGTATTTTAGATTTTAGGGATTTAACTCAAAAGTTTCCAAAAGTTTTTGCCATTTTATGAAAAATTTAAGAATCATGAACGACACTTACGAACTAAAAATAATTTCCATAACATCATGACGTACTATCCTAAAAGATTAATTCATATTAATAAAAAGTAAGTGCATCTATTTTCGACTTTAAATATAGCGTGCAACATATCGTACAATAAGGGGCCAATTAAAATACCTTGAGGGAGCCCAAAAAAAATTACTAAATTCATTTTATAATTAATGTAAATTCTTAAGCAATATACTCAATAAAGAAAGATATACTTACAAAGAAATGTGTAACGTTTTCAAAGCTCAAAAACCTCTTCTGCCTGTGGGAAACTTTATCTTTTGCTTCGCTTAAATCTATTAGCAAAAACACTATTAAACTTACGTAGCATATAAATATCACTTGGTATAGACGAATCATTGTCATATTTTCATTGAATTGTTAAGAAAAAATATCAATTTTTATTAAATGACTAATTTCAAAAGTTTTTCATTTTACATCACAATTTCTTAACTAATAACTATAAATAGATTATCACTTTTTGATTGGTCGGTACTTATTTAATCGTATAGAGATTATGGTCAACTGTTACACGACCATTGTGAGATGTGATATAAAAATTGTCGTATGCGTTGCAGTAACGGTTACAACAACCAGTTTGGTTTGTTTTTTCAGTTAACATGTTGATTTTCGCTTGCGTACCCTAAACTTGTTTTCTTTGGAAGCAGATTCAGTGGGTCAAATTATACAGAGTGTTGCTTTTATGGAACATTTTAAAAGTAAAGATTTTTTTTGGGAATCTCAAAACCCTAAAACGAAAAGGCAATGAAAAAATGTATAAGGCTAAATATGCGGGCAGGATGGGTAAAATATCTACTAGCGTTAGGTAATTAAAAGGTAAGTTTAAATATTCATATCCTGTCCAATAGGGTGATTTCACATCACCCTGTCAGTAGGTTTACAAATATTCTTGGAGAAGAATCTAATCCATAACGGTTTACTTGTTATTTGTAAATCGTGATTAGCTCATACCAATGATAAACTTAGAGGTAAGTGCTATCTGAAAACTAGAACAAGATACCTCACGTTGAAAGACATAAGAGAGTTTTTATATGATCATAGCATTCTTTTGTTAGATTTCTTTCGTTTATCACAAATTTAATATCTTATTTAAAAGAAAAATACAACATGAGCGCAGTATTTTATTTTATACTAGTAATCCTATCATTAAATGCGACTTTGCAGGGATTTAGTGCCGAATTTTCTAATGAAACTAACAGTGTCTTCCATGGGAAAAATGAAATATTGTCGCGGAGAAAAAGGTTTCTTATATTTGATGAAGGAAGCTCGTTTCAGATTGGTAAGTAAATACTTGACTTTGTAAACATTTTCGCCACTTAATACCGAGTAGGTTTGGAGAAAACGTAAAATTAACCTAGTATGTTGGGAAAAGTATGGGATATTGGACCGGCAACTAAATTGGACCACCCTAATATCCATAGTATTGGCTATGTTGTTATTGTTGTGATATTGAATGTCTGTGTTTTGTTTTGAAAGATATTTATTCGTTATTTTTGATGTAAATTGCATTGAGTATATAAGATAGGTAAGAGTGCAATTAACTTATAGGCAAGCATACAGTGTTTGTAATTTACAGCATAGAAGTGTAATTTATCTACAATCACCTTACGTGAAACGATGCATTTATAAATTATATTGTATTAGATTTGTTTGTTAATCATACTGTTGTAAGATGGACCAACAGTGAAATAAATGGATGTTTAAATGGTCTTGGACGAATAAGATAGCAGCCTTGGATCAGAAGACAAGGATAATGCATGTGCTAAATGCAAAAATAAAATACCATGATAAAGAGCGTATGAAGTTGATTGGACACGGTGCGTGCGGTTCCGTAATTGGACCATGCACCCAAAATTCTGACATTTGCAATGATTGTCTTATGCGAAGAGCTTTTTTCATTAGTAGGATTGTTACCTAGACTCATTATTATTTATGTTATGTTTCATTGTATTTTTTTATTTGTTTTACCTCAGAGCCTATTGAAGTAAAATTTAGCGACCCCGTGGTCCGAATTACAGAACCAATCGGCTAAATTGGAACAAATCTCGGATTACACATTTTTGTTGATTTTTGAGATGTCTGTAATAATATTATAATAATTAATGCTGAATAAATACAAAGTCTAATAATTGTTGCTTCATTTCATTCTACAGACGTTTGTAAAAATCTTAAAAATATGTATTTAAAACGCGTCTGAAAAAATGGTCCAAATTGACAGAATTGTGTAATTCTTACAGTAGACAGTAGATTATACTTTGTTTTGCTAATAACCTATATATATTTTATCAATACTAACATTTTAATAGTGCGAATTTTAATCCATCTATATATTATATGCCTGGTTTTTCGTCTTCCAGTATTTTGCTTAACATACCCTCTAGTCAGCGCTATTGGAGACATTGTTTTATTGGGGTCTACAGCCGCTTTGTCATTCGAACTACCTCAAGATCCTTACTCTCCTTTCAATCACCACGCGGATCCGTTGCATAGACGAACTGATTCGAAATTTATCTATTACATGGATGAAGCAGGCAAGATAATCGACAAAAGACCTTATAAAAAGTAAGTAGAAATACAGTTTTATCATTGCACATATCAAGTATCTACATACAACCACAGACGTAATATAGTAGTTGTATATATTTTGAGAGTAAACAAAACATAAAAGATTGTAAGTTTCATTTTCTTTGATCCACAATGACGGCTTATATACAGTTAACTTAGTTAGATAACAGTGTCATGGTTGTTTAAACAGTATCACAGGACACCATCATCTAATTGACAAATAATGGTAATATGAACATTACTGTATTCCGGTTTTGAAGGGTGCTACTGAAATTACAGGTATATAACATTTGTCAACCTATGTATCAGGGTAACGGGCGCAGTGGCAGTGCTTCTTAGATCTTTGCGATTTAAAGCTCTGAGTGGCACTACTGCTATGGGCAGGCGTGTCGCTTACCACTAGGTGTACGATTCGTTAATTCCATTATATATTATCATAAAAAATTCCGATTAGCTATCATGAAAATTTGGCAATAATTACATATTCTCATTGCTTTATGGCAAGTATGTCACCCATAGCTTTTAGCATATAGACGGCGATTTTCTTGAACTTTCAAACGTTTTTTGAAGACGATAATTTTAATATTTACGGTACTTTATGTGTTACGGCACCTGCACACCATATAGCCATTAGTAAACTGAAATTGTGACACAAACTTAGTGCATTATGGGCAATACTCGCTACTTATCATTTCTGTATATTGAATTTTTATAACAATAATAATTAACAAAATAATTTCACATTTCTAGCAAATTCGTCGTAAAGCCAACAATTGCAAAACGCAGTGTCGATAGACTGAAAACTGTTGAATTAAAAAAAGAACTCAAAATAGACAGGAAGCAGATGCACGCTTCGAAACACAAACGGGAGTTTTTGAAAAGCAAAAACATGGATAGACGTAGCGTCGAATTTAACAGAAATAGCCGCTCGGCGCTCTACCGTAAAATAGAAACAATGCTGGAGGGGTATGTGTAAGCGTTGTAAACATATCTTTTTGTTGCTACTACGAAATGGGTTTCTAAACTGGCCATTCAGAATGTAAATTTAAATCCATAGCTTCTCTGTTCGAACGTGAGAATTAACTTCTTTTGTTTTAAACTGAGAATGGTGGCAGTCCAGTGGGAAAACGTTTGCTTGTCGATTGCGAGGTCTACACTTTAAAAGATTTTAATTTTTAAGTTACGAACATTTATGAATATTTAGTTGCTATATCTCTCGCTACCGGTATGAAATCTGAACGTCAAAGAAGGAAAACTTGGTCAATCCTAACCTACATTGACGAACTACGGTCTAAGTCCTTTCATAACTTTTCTTTCCGTATTATTGATTAACTTTGTCTTCTTTAACTTATCAAATACATGGTGAATCAGTTTTTTTTCTTACATCACTAATGAATGTAACTCTCCATTTTGATTGATTCAATGCGTTCTTTACATTATATCGTTAAACATGAAATTTTGAATCTTTTCTAAGGACTGTTTTCTGTCAAAATTATAAGTCATAAAGTGGACCCTGTACAACATAAAATCTACTGGCTGATATCCTTTTAAAGCAGTTCTAAAGACTTGTTCATGTACTTAAAGGTTCAAACAACTTTCGCTATGGTGACCCCTCTCAAATTGGAATTTGTAAAAATTTCGAGTTCTTAGGTTTTCGCGATTGTTACACATAGGAAATGAAACTATTTTTCAGGATTTAAATCACGTATATTTGTTTTTTCAAACAAACCGACGTTTGAGCCCATTGTCATGGTTGAGTCAACGTCGGTTTGTATGAAAAAAAAAACAAATATACGCGATTTAAATTTGGAAAAATAGTTTCATTTCCTATTTGTAAAAATTGTAATGTCTCTCTGTTTGTTAAATTTCTTTTCCATTAATCTGTTTGTTCACATGTTCAGTCTCGGCGGGAGCGGCCGGCAGTGTATGTTGAAAACTTTATGCTTAGTTGGTCAGACCCGACAGCTTCCCCAGGGATCTTTCTTCCAGGAAATATTGAGAGCCGTCTTCACGTAAGTTACTGTGTCACTAGTGGGATTTTGCATTTCTGTAGTTTTCTATGACGTAAAGAGGTTTCATGCGAGTATAAGTAACCTTAGTATGGATTTTATTATAAAACATTGAGATAATTTTTTTAAGCTGTTTAAGAACAGGACGTTTCTGAATAGAGAATGGTGAATGAAAACATCGTGATGAATAATGACGTCCAAGAAGCAACAATCTTTAGAAAACATGTGAAGTCTCCAACACAGGTTGGGTCCCCACGGCAGACTACGGCTCAAACCCCCGCCGTCACTTTTGAGAAGACCCGTGTTTAGCAGAGGGATAATATTTATGTACATAGTGTTATATTTTCTAACAGTAGAAGATCCAGATCGAGACCTTTGCTTGACTGATCAGATAGTCAAGTCATTGACACGGAGTGTTATAAGCGGTTTATGTATTTATTATTATCTCTGTTATAAAGTAAAATCTTTTAATGTATAAAAAGAGGATCTGAAGAATTTGCAATTAAAATATTGTTGTCAATTCCCCTAACTTTTTTTAAATTTATTTCTTTTCAAATTTCGAGAAACTTCTTAAGGCTTCCCACGGCAAACAGTGGGCCCAAATTGATAATTCTTGGACATAGGAATAAGTTGTGGAGTATCGAACAATTTTTAAAAAAAATGATAGATAATAACATTCCTAACAACTTTTATTCTTGTATAATTTCATGAAAAGTTGATTCGGGGGGAAAAAATATTTTTTTTTGTATGGAGAAATATACATTTTATTTTTTATCTCAAAATATACGAAAATATAATGTGCGTGGGTTACTTACAGTATAGTTCCAAACATTTTCTACGTAGAAAAAAAAATTCGTCTGCATATACTTGCGGCTTTGTAAGTAAAGGTGCGGCAAAATCGCTAACTCTTTTATGTAATTTTTTTAACAAAATACATGAGCTACGACTAAAGAAAAATTAATTTTAATAAAATCAATTTTTCTTTACTTTTTTTATAATTTGTCTTTAAATAAAAATTAGCTCGATACTCCACAAGTTATCTTATGTTCAGGAGTTATCAATTTGGGCCCACTGTGCGGCGTCGTGATTAGTACGCACATATACATGTGTACATCTGAGCCCGCGCCGGCACGGGCAGTTTTCTTCGCACGGCGCGTTGGCGCAAGCTCGTACGACGCTGTTCGTGAATCCACGGATCGTGGGAAGCCAGCATTAAAAAGCAGTATTAGATCCGGAAGTAGTCACAATAGTATCTATTTACTATCTTTATCTATATTTAGTATCTATGACATTAAAAAAAAAGAATTAGTACACTAAACAAATAAAAAATAGGAACCTTTTTCTAACCTAGTTGAAGGTAAAAAGTTTTTGGGGATTCAGCTGAATTCTGAATACCAGACGCTTTTCAATAAAGCGAAAATTCTTTGGCGAGGAGTTTTGTGACCCTGGGTTTCCGCGACAAAAGGCACAAAGTTGTAGCACTGGCTGATGTTAATTTGAGCCTTGTGCAGTTCTCGGCTGATCTGGTGACGTTGACACGGACTTAGGAAATTTGTGAATAGTGTGGCCCACTATTCACAAATTTCCTAAGTCTACAATTTATTTTCAGATTGCCTAAAGGAGAAAGCCAGAACGCCGACGAACAAGAATATGACAAAGCGCACTCCGCAGAAGAATCATGTGACGACCTTTACCCTGAATGTGAACCTTTAGATGAGGCAGGTCCTCGTGTTATCAAAAAACATGTTTACAAGTAATTTTGGGTTTAATGTATCTTGAAATCGAGTTACAGTCAAATGCATCGATTAGTTCGCCAATTTCGCCCAGCAATAGTATCTCAATTTATTTAGTGTATGTTACGATCTAGATTTGTTTTTCGAATCAACACTTTTGTAACGAATGCATAAACGATTTTTAAATGTGATACGTCATCAATTGCAACAGTGTTCTTCAAAGCAAAACTAGAAACAGCACGTTATTAACAATTAAAGATTTGGAGGTATATGCGATTGGGTTAAAAATAGGACTATTTATTAATTACGTTTTTATTATACCAGTATTTTGCCAAGATTCCTTGACAAGACAATTTATGTATATTTTGACAAAATGCTTAAGGATGGCAAGTACAGGATCTTGGCTTCTGCCTTTGGGAGACATAAACGATGGTGTCATGTCTATGCAATTTATAATTTTAATAGTTTTTTATACCAGAGCGTTATAATTTTGCTACATGACATATTGGCGATCTTTAGTTTTTTAGCTTTTGGTTACCATTTATTTTATTGTTCATTGACATCGTCGATATATAACTATTTTCTTTTATTTATAATTTAATATTAACTTTTTGTTTATAAGTAGGCAATTCAATAAATATGTTTTGACTTGTAGAGTGCACTGTTATTTCTATAACTCTATGATCACGTTTCTTTTTTCATTTTCCATATTTCTCGTCGCCTTTTTTGTTTTGGTGTCATTTTTATTAAATATTGTCCACACGACTGTAACTGTAACTCATTGACAACATGTTAATTGGTGTCTCATAACCACGTATGACACAAAATAGGAAGGCGGGGACAGTTCATACTATGCTTTCTTACTGTTAACTCTATTTACAAAATTCATAATTTTCCAGCTAGTGGCATATCAATGTTTTTAAACAAGTTCCGAATTCAAAACTTTAACGCAATACCGGATAAGTGGCTTTATAATGAATTGGAGTTCTTGTAGTACAATCTTAATACTTTTGTTCCAAACTGTATTCAGTGTTCAAAGAAATGATAGAAATTATGGAAACGTTCCAGAACATTCGAATGTACTCTCAAGAAGAAAAAGATTTCTACTATATCCTGATGGCAGTTCATTTCAATTAGGTGGGTAATTAAGGTAAATATGTTATAGCTTTGTTTGAATAAGAAGACTTTAATATAGAGTTATATTGTGAAACTATATTGCAATCATTTATGTTAGTCGTGATAAGTGTAGAGGCTTGATGGTGAACGAAATGGTGATAGTGGTTTGACTGGTTATAATGAAACTCAATTCAATGCATCAGAATCAACAGTAAAGTATGTGGTGAAGTAAAAATCATAAAATGTCAAAAATGTAGTGAAATTTTATAGTTTAAGATGCTAATTTTTTTGTCTATAATAATAATAATAATAACGCACACTCTCAATATAGCCCCGCACTAGGGAAACCCTGTGTCGCGGGTGCCATGGACACACACATAGACAACCACAAAATATCCATAACAGTTGCTACTCAGACCTTTGAATCGCAAAGATGTGAGGGGTATTGCTCCTGCGCCCATCACCTCGACACATAAGTTGACAACTCCCATGTCAATTTCACCAGCTCAAAAGAATACAAATTCACTTATCAGCAAACGCAAGGTATCAATAAAGAAAATCAGGAAAAATCAATACACATGTTTTTGGAGTCAAACATGTCAGCTGAATACGTTTCTGAAGTTTGTGTAAAATAGTACCGTAGCGTTCATTGCTAATAGTTTGGCCTTTGGAAGTTAATGAAACATAAAAATCCCTTTTGCATCCCGAAAGATTAAAACCATGACTTTTTCAGGCGATTTCACGGCTTTTGCTTTCTCTGAATCCGCACAGATTGGGCCTCTATTTCAATTGAATTTTGGATTCCGGTGTATAATGGCGGATCCATGTTTCATCAGTTATTACAAATCACTGCGAAAATCTGCTCTATTATATTAAATACTAAAAAGGTCCAAAGAGTGTTGAGAGTTTTTACGAATTTTCTTACAGAGGTAAGCATCGCGGCAACAGGCTAACACCTTTTTTCGTTCAACTATCTAAGTAGGGGATATAGCCGTCTTTTAGAAACGCCTGAACTGTTGGCTATTTCAGATAATTATAGTGTCATGTACTTTGCAGATAATTCCCAAAGACGAGTCGCTTATTGGGCGCTCAGGTCGGGGTTCATCTGCAACGATGTATACTCAGTCTTCCAGTTCTTGCTTATGAGTTAGCACCTTTACACAAAACATTTTCAATTCTTCAGAAATATCAATTTTTCATCCCCTTCATACGAACACACTTTATAACTAATTGTTGTACAAATATAATATTTCTACAGACTACCTACATAAAAAAAAACTAAATTTAACTCCTAATTGTGTTGATGTATGGTCTCATGATTATCTCAAAACATAATTTTAAAACTAAGTAACACCAATTTGTTGGAATGTGAACATGTTCTGATATGTTTATGTGACGGTTTCGTTCATTTTTGTAAGCTTGTTTATCTAGTATTTCTCATTGTAAGTGAATGTTTTGTTTTTGTTTGTGTTCTGTTTTGAGAAATAAAAAAACTGTTCTTTGTTCAGTTTCATTCTTTCGGAAAAGTTTGATTCAAACATTTTTCCAGTGGCAGCCAGCGAAAAAACATTTACTGCATCGAATTCTGATTTAAAATTTATACAAAATATTAAAATTTTTCTAAATTCTTCTTTGTTATGCATAACAGGCCACGCATTTCATTCCGCACTCTAATATGTTTGAATCAATAATTGTTAAACGAAAGTTGTTAATAAGTAATATAAGATTGATCATGGTGCTGAAATTCTCTAAGCACACCTAACAGAGGAAGAAATAAATATATCCATTTCATGTTCAAAATTTCATATCCGAAATTTGTGTACACTTGTGATTACAAGCATGCGTGTGTCAACTGTAGGGTATTGACCTTTTATATTGTGTGTGGTTTGTAGGTACATGAGTACATAGTATCTAACTATACGCAGAGTAACCAATGGTGACATTGTAGGTACTTGCAGTTAGTCTTACAACACATTATACATATACCATATATGATACACGAACGATAATTGAAATTAATTGATATACTATACAATAAAAAAGACAATTAAATTTGTAATTATATAGTACTTAATGGTATTAGTTTCTTTTTTATTGTATTGATGCCAATTGAAGTAATTTTGTTTCTGAATCGTTTTTTATTACAATATAGGATATAAAACGTCTCCCTGAAGTACTCCTCGATACTCGATCAATATCCAATTTTTTCAGTACAGAATATAGAGAACTTGCATATTTAGGCAACCTGAGTTGTGAATGAAAATACGATTAATATAAATAAGATCCGAGAAGAAACGTACACATGCATTCTGGACTTTATGAATAGACTTAACGATTTTTTTATAGAGTAAGACAACTACAATCTAAAACGACAAAAACGAAAACTACATCGTAATAGGTTAGTTAGTCTTTTTGAGTATGGCACGCTTAAATAGTGGATCATAGTTAAAAGAATAACGTTAAAGTTCAAATGCAAATGCTTTTCTTAGCAACATTACACGAAATTAAAACGAAACGGAAATTTTTTTTTATACCGTACGCGAACAAAATCCCGGGCAGTAACTAATATACTCAGAAGCACATCAAGTGACGTAAGCTGTAACTTTTAAAATTTTAACTATGTGTATGAAGTTTATAAAGTGCAATTCTACTGTGTCAAACTAAAACACTGTAATATCAAAAATCTCAGTTCAGAGTACTAAAAAAACCGACCTCAAAAGTACGTGGAATTACATATAGTCTGCAGTCTGCGAGCATGTCATGGATAAACCTACACATTCAACAAACCTACCTAACTACACATTAAAACAAGTCCGTTATCTACCCAGGATGCTGCGAGAGACTATTGAAATTAAAAAACATCCTTATTTCAACAGGGAAGATGGTTTATCCGTACCACCATTTTGGATCCAGTTTTTCCTCTAATGAAAAATCCCAAACAGACATGAGACTGCAGTACTAATTAATATGTTTTAGTTTATTCTAATTTCTATTAATAATTCATAATAAATTAAACTTAATAAAAATTCATTAAATAAAATAACTTGTAAAACATAATGTAGCGTAAATTGGAATGTTTTCTTTGTAAAATTAAAAATAAGGTATTTAATTAATAACTATTGTAACTATAGTGAAAAAATAGGGTGGTTTGCATTAATATTAGACATAACTGGTTGAAGACTGTACCACCTCAGTCAACCGTGACCATGGGACCTGTAAAGGGCCCGAAACGTCGGTTTGTTCGAAAAAACAAATATACGCGATTTAAATCCGGAAAAATAGTTTCATTTCCTATGTGTAACAATCGCGAAAACCTAAGAACTCGATACATATAATTACCAATTTTTATTGAAATCGGTTATCGGAAAGTGCGCAAACCACTTATACGGAACTTGACACAGGGATAATAAAAATCGGTTGTCACTACTCAAAATATATTGAGAGAGAAAAACGACTTGAATTGGAGAATAGCAACATCAACCATTTAAATAATTGCTCCTTTTAATAAAATTTAGGCGCTATTTTTGAAAATGAATCTTCATGCGTGAACAGCCACCCTTAGAGGTGGATGATTTTCTTTGTAATTAAATGAGACCACTATGGAGGTACCCTGTTTCCAACAAAAAAAGAATCACCAAAATCGGTTCAAAAATACCGGAGTTATCGCGTAACATACATACAAAATAAAAAAACGGTCGAATTGAGAACATTCTTCTTTTTTTGAAGTCGGTTAAAAACAACATTTTGAGAAAAAGCTGCATAAAGGATTTTTCGTTTTTTTTGTAATTTTTGAAGATAATAACATAAAAACAGATAGAGATATATTTATTTATTTATTTGGTACTGCCACATCTTACGGAAACCGGCATGCTACGTGGGAAACAAATGTCTGGCTATGCCACCTCCGCCGGGCCCCGATAGAAGGGGCAGACCCAAGAAGTGCTGGCTTGACGTCGCCAAGGGTGATATGCGTGCCAATGGTCTCAAAACTAAGGATGCCGAAGACCGTGCAAAGTGGAGGAGAAAAAGTAGAAAAGCGGACCCCGGGCTCCGCAGCAACACTGCTGAGGACGCAACCGGGACAACGCTCAGATGAGAGAGAGAGAGAGATATATATATTTATTTGTAAGCATACACGGTAAATACAGTTTACATATTTAAGATTACACTTATGGTTCAGCGTGTTGCGCCAGTAACCGGCATACAAATGTTAATAGCAAACATTATACATTGTTCGCATTTAATACATTATGTAATTAAAATAATTTCGTATTACATTATATAATTAAATTTTGTTCGTTAAATAAGGAGTTTGTACATATCGGGTCAAGCGATAGGGATATCGGGTTAAAAAGGAACATTTTTTGAAGTAAACAAATAACTATGTTTTTTGACAAAAATACACATCTCGAATATGTCTCGAAGGAAGGGACAATATTCTTAGTTTTTTAAATAAAGGTTTGCAGCTATCTCGCATATCGGCACCGCACATCGCCTTTACGCACTTTTTCTGTAGGATAAAAGCTCGACTTATGTGAACAGAGTTAGCCCAGTCAACAATTCCATATAGCAGAGTCGAACACAATAAACCGTGGTAGGCCATCAAAGCAGTTTTCTCGTCACAGATGTTTTTAACCGGTAAATTGCGTACACAAACTTGTTGATTTTTTCACAAACTGATTCAACATGTTCTGTCTAGGTCAAATGTGTATCGAGCAGGATGCCAAGAAACTTAGTTGTGGTTGACTCTACTATGGGACTATTGTTGTTTGCTATGGAGAGTTTTGCAGGATTTTTATTGTGATTTAGGATTTGTAAAAACGTAATTTTAGACAAATTTACTTGAAGGTTATTGCATTCCAACCAATTTACTACTCGTTTGATAGTTTCGTTTATTTTGAATTCTAAATCAAGTTTCGGTCTTTTTGTAAACTACAATGGACTGGTCGTAGACGATACATGGATATTGTACTATAAAAAGTAAAAAGATACATTTAACTTAAGTTATACATTACATATTAAAGAAATCTATCTAGCCATTATAATTTTCCCTTGGTAAGTAAGTTATTTCTATTGTAAACCGAATAAATTTCTTTTGCCTCGTTAACAGCCGAAAGATTCTTGTTGACAAAATACTGTATTGAAGTTTTTTGCAGTGTTTTGGTTTGACACGATAGAATGTCATTTTTTATATAGACCCCGTTCCTGAGACAGTTTCGCTAACTCAGGGATCCCGCAACAGATACTGCATTTCGCATTGTCAAACCAAAAGACTGTATTGCTACGTACAGTGTTATGTCAAAGTAATTTCAAATTTTTTAAACTAACAGTGTATTTTAGTTTTTATTACGTTATTCAAAAATACTAATACCTCCAAAGTTGAAATGTCAGGGTATAGATTGGGTCTAGAGAAATCATATGAGCACTGTTAAATCAAAACACTGTAAGTGACTTCACAGTGTATTGGTTTGACACGGCAGAATTTAAAATTTAAAAATTTGATATCAGCTGAGTTACATTTCTTTTTGTATATGTCACTGTCTGCGGTAGAACCTCCATCAGTCTTTTTATACATGCCCGTTTATTCTTTGTACTTTTAAGAGTATTTTTGAAGTTTATAAATTTGTTCCATTTGCTGTTTTAAACATTTGTATTTTATTCTCCTTTTCAGTATTTTGCCTCCAAACATCAGCCCTTATTCCGATTGGAGACATCTTCTTGATTGGCGACACAATAGCATTGGCCTGGATGCTACCAACGGACCCTGAATTCCTCCTCAAGTTCAAGGATCATAAGGCCTTGAAAGCCTCAAGACGAAACGGGGAGGAGGAGATTGTTTTTATTAATCAAGATGGAAAAATTGTTGGGAAGGTTCCTTATAAAAGGTGTTGTTTCAAAACAAATATGTCACATATGCTACATATTTGGTCACACTTAAATTCAGAGCCCATTTAATAGCGTACAAATTTGCACTTGTTTCAATCTGTACAACTTGATTTGCGTCTCTCAGGCAAAATTAAAAATATTTTCTTGAATAAAAACTTATTGTGCTTCTGGTTCAGTATCGTAGACACATTTATAGCATAAAGCATTATTTTGCAACATCAACTTTTCTTCGAAAGATCACGAGCTGTTCCCTGTTCCTGGAAATATTCCGTGTATAATTTACGAGCTGATTCCATTTCGTTCGGTTTCGGATTCTTTTAGGACGATTGATACAGTAAAGCTAGCCCGGACAGTTACTTGGTTTCATTAATGACGAGACGTTATGCTGCGAGGTCGTTTACCCTCTACCTGTTCTGTCACAACCTGTCGGGGTTTTCGGGTTCAGGTGGGCAATATGAGCACAAGTACCTACTGCAAAAAATGTATTTATTGCAATTGTATCTGGAGTAAATGTATACTATTACGCTTTTATCCCATTGCGATGGGCAGAGCCAAAGGATGTTCACTAGGTGCGTCCCTGATAAAATTATTTCAACAATTTATTTCGTTTCTCCTAATAACTTCAATTACATCAAGCCTTTACATACTGGTCCGTTAATTCTTGGTAATTTTAACCCGACCTTCTTTAAGGATATCTTTAATCAGGTTGATATATATTAGCCGAGATTGACCTTTTGAATTTAGTAACATAATTTCATCATCTTCAAAGGGAACAAGTTTACAAACAAACGCGTGGGCAGCTACTTCACAATGATTCTTAAAGCTAAAAATACATAATCATATTTTTACAGGAAAAAATTCATAAATCCAACCTTTGCTAAACGAAGTATCGACGAAAAAACATTTAAGGAAAAATTAGTAATTAAAATCGATAGAATAAAAATGCATGAGAAACAATTGAATAGAGAATATTTAAAGAGAGACCATATGAACGAGAGGAGTATAGAGTTCCACAGAAAGAGTCGACTAGGGTTGTATGAAAAACTGGAGACATTCCTCACGGCGTAAGTTAAATTACTATATTAAATACTCGTAGAAGTATACTCCAGGACACAAAAAACATTCCTAGCGACCTGATGACCATAATAAGTCGAGATGAGAATCTTTAAAGCTGTCAACCCATGACTGGCAAGCAGCAGTTGGCAGACATCCATGAAGTGTGTAACCGCTCTGGAATATTTGTAGATCATTAAAAAATTGTACTGTGAAAAAAAAATCTGGAGCTGATGAATATTCCCAAAAGCCTTAAAATTTACAACTTACAATTTACAATGACTGCAATACACAACTCTTATGTAATTTATAGTAACAGTAAACTTGTGCAAAATTGCTTGTACAGGGACAAGAGCACGTCAAGCTTGACACTTAAGACTTAAATCCAACTCTATGCTGCTTACGAACGGTCTAAAGTACAAAGTGTCAAGCTTGATGTGCTCTTGACTGTACTACCACTCCTCTTATGTATTACTATAAATTTTAACATTTGCGATAATCTGTGTAGGTTGGGGCGGGACGGGCGGCAGTGCATTCTTCGCAAATTATGTGAGTCTGCCCGCAGCGGCCGCCAGGGAACATTCTTGCAGGAACTTCTAAGGGTTATTTTCACGTATGTATATTACAAAACAACTAGTGATTTATGTAAAACTGTAGTTTGATCGCAAGGCTTCATCTGTTGTTATTAAAAAATAGCAAAACATACATGACTTATTTGAGATGATTCAGATAACAACGGCGTATTACAGGTAAGCTGAGGCTTTTTATTTACGTACAGACGTACTTTTATAATAAATATAGTTAGCAACTTCTTGTTACAAATATCACCAATGGATTGGCTTTGATTGTTTTGAATTTAACGAAAATTTTTAAAGCGTACTTTTTTTTTGGTTAGCCCGATATTTCAATATGCGCAACTTATGCATCGCGATCACGGGACATCTGGAGACTTGCAAGTAGTGTAGGAGGTATTTGTCTTTTCGAAAAAAAAAACCACTAGTCAGACGTGACCGTGGGATTTATAAAGGGCTCTAAAAGTTGGTTTGTTTATAAAAACATATACGCGATTCAGATCTGAAAAAAAAACTTCATTTCCAAAGCTAATTGTATCAATAAAATTGGGTTAGTAATCATTACATAGAAATAAACATAGAAATATTCAGCTCGTATTTATAATCGAAAATAAGATAATTATAAAGAAAAACGTCAGAGATATTATTTTTTTCCTCAGGCTACCTAAAGGCAGAGAGTTCAAAAACGAAGATCATAAAGCTTACGACAAAGCCCACAATGCCGATGGCGACTGTACTACCTTATACCCTGGTTGCAATGATGTGGAACAACAATTTTAATTACTGAAGAATATAATATGTGAATCAAGTTTGGACTTATCATTTATTCGTTGATTGACCGTTAAATGAAAATGTTCTTGTTTAATTTGCTTAAAAAATAGACACTTCAATTTTGTATCAAAGTCTTCATATATATAAGAGTGTAAGGGTTAACGCAGCGCTTACTTAGTATATCATTTGTACGGAATAAATTTCTCTTAGACGTCCTTCTGCGACTCCACACAGACCTTTACATCATCTGAACCATAGAACCAGCTCATTTAATTTGCAACTATAGTCTTTGTGTCAATTGTGTAATGTGCAAGCTTGATACGAACCAAAAAATCAGGTCGCGCATCTTGCGAAGAATTCACGGGCAGTCTCAGGAATATCCACAGCTACCATATCGTATTTAGATTGTACGTTACACAAATTACGTAAAATTAATTATGGTATGTACAATTACGTTTCAAAAATTCACTTTCATTCCTTTCCAGAGCCTTTATCCCCAGTCTCATCCTATTTCGATTTCTTTCTATGACGTTTTTAATGAAATTGTCATGACGCACAAGGTGCCCGTTAGTTTCACCTCCTAATTTTTTGTAAGTGCAAATCTTCAAGTACACCACACGCCAATACATTTGGAGTAAGTACAGTTGCGTTCTCTTTAAATTTCTGCACTCCTGGTAGACTCTATGATTTTTTACTCCTGCAGTAGTTGCAAGAAAAATCTTGCCTTCTAGAAAGTTCAAAATTCATTTCGCACGTGTAGGTCATCTTTAATAAGTATGATGTAAACTACGTACAAGTGTATCGATGGTTCATGCAGCTGTACAAGGACAAGCTGTTTGTAGCAGTAAAGATTATATCCTTGTGTAGGAGTTCATCCAGAAAAGTACTGCCACCTTATTAAGGGTGCTGAAATTACAAGCACATGGGACTTCTCAAATAATATTCCAGGATGGTGGGCGCAGATTTTTGCGATTTAAAGCTCTGAGTGGCACTGCAACAGCCACCACGTAACTTACCATCAGGCGCACGATCACGTGCCGTCATTTGGTATCATAAAAAAGAAGTGTGATGTTTCCAACCCGTATTAGGCCAGCATGATGGAAGTTGATCTATACCATCATCGCAGAGACGACTGGTTGTGGAAAGTATATGGATTCATGATAACGTCTGGTATTAGAAAAGTTTGCATGTAGAAAATTGGAAATCAACTTTGAAAATGATTAGTTTCTAATTAGATTAATAATTAAGAATGTATAATAGTATGGTATGAGTATAATACTAGATTTATTGAATATTGCGATGCTTTATATAATTACTCCAATGGTTTGTTATATACTTCGTCCAACTATTTATTTGAGTCTACAGAAGCTCTTAAAATTACTAAGCGGAAAACTCGATACAGGCGAAATCTAAAGGGTAGCGCCATTAAGCAAAAAGAAGAAGAACTTTTGACATATACAAGCCTCCGAAGTTCCGTAATTATTGACGTACAACCATAGACAAAAAATGCAATACTTCCTGGACTTGTTTATTTTTTAATTTTAGTGCAGCGACGTGCTCTTTAGCTCCGATATTTATCGAGCCAGCAGATTATGTAACGAAGATTATTGAAGTTGATAAATTTTGTTGTCTGTCTAAATTATAATGAAATGTATGAAATAAATGAAATGAATAATGAAGTAAATTATAATGAAATGAGATAGATTATTAATAATTATAATAAATTCTTACTGTTTATTATAATGAATCCTCGGATTCTTCTTCACATGAACGGGAATTATCATTAGAATCCTCATTAACATTAATGATTAATTCTTGAATACACAAATTGTCAAACGCAACATCTCGATCCCAATCTGACAACATCTTCTTTTTTGAATCCGCTCTCATTCACGATTAAAACTTTTTCACAAATAAAACCGATGGTTATAAAAAGACGAATCGGAAACGCATTATGGACATCACTAATTGATTAGGATTCGAGCTGTCAAAAGTTAAATAAATCTGAGATTTTAACAGACCTTAAAATGCAAACGTTGAATTTAGTACAAACTTTGGCAATTAACTAACCCGCTACTGCCAAGCAAAAGTCATCTTTCTCGCTATGAAACTACAGTGTAAAATAAAAATATACCTGTACTAATTAGTAGAGGCGGTAATCGTAACACTCTGTTTTGCTGTGCGAATATCATCTTACGTTAAATGAATATAGAGTGTAAATTAAAAGCAAAGGTAAAGCCAAGGAAGTGTAAAATGAAGTAGCTAATGAGATAGGCGGCAGTTGATCTAATACTTTGATCAAACATCCTGGTTCTCTGAACACGCTGAAGATTCTAGCAATTCTACGTTACCGTTGGAATAGTGTGGACAGGATTTTGAATTTGTTCGAGATGTTTTTGTTTTTAATTTGTAGTGATGTGATATTGATGACGTGCATGAAATATAATTTTTCAAAAGAAACTTCGAATCAATTTGCAATTCAAGTCTTGTGTCTGTCTAAAAGGGTGTTCATGCAGAAGAGTTAAAAAAGTTTCATAAGGGCTATACAGCTTTAAAGTGCCTTGAAGTTCTAAATTTGTGTTATGAAAACTTTTTCATAAAGAAATAAGTGTCCTTTAATACGAAAACTTGGACATTATAGCGATTTATTCATACTAATAGTATAAATGTAAAAGTAACTCTTACGTTTTCACGCCTAAACCGCTGAACCAATATCGATAAAGTTTGGTATAGCGATAAATGGGATTTTGGAGAAGGATATAGGCTAGATTTTGTCAAAAAAATAAATCTTAAAGGGGCGAAATAAGGGATGAAAACTTGTATGGAGAATCAATAAAACTATGAATTTTAGTATACTACCGTAGGCTACTCGAAGTGTTTATTCTACGCAGACGAAGTCGCGGACACCAGCTAGTTTAGAACAAAAAGATTAAAACGAGTGCCACGCTAATATCTACATCATACAACACATTACGGGACACGTGGAGTGTGCCGACGGAGTTCACAATGGAAACGCGGCATCTTTTGACATTTCTCTCGCTCGCCTGCCTTAAAAATGTTGCATCACGTTTTGTTGTTATTTATTTTGATAATGTCCATTTTAGTGTCAACGTTCTTGGTGACCAGTGAATATGTACAATACAATTCCACATACGAGTGTCCGAATATAAAAAACCAATTAGGAAATTTAAGAAGACGAAGGCATTTGAATTTTCCCGACGGAAGTAATGTCATTGTAAGTATTTTTTTTTAAATCAGGAAAAGTAATTTTACGTCGTTAGATATAAGTATAAATTTCTCCATTTTAATTTTCATTATTTTTGTGATAACCAGTAGCCTATATCCTACTCCTAGATCCCATCTATCTATATTCCAAAATCAATAAATATTGGTTCAGCAGTTTAGGTGTGAACATGGAACAGACGGAGCTTCTTTCGCATTTATTATATTAGTATAGACATCGTCCAGGGTAATACTGCCACCTTATCTATTTCTGCCGCCAAGCAGTAATAAATAAATAAATGAATCAAAGTTTGCTCTTGTTGCCATGGGTGTTCCTCAAGGTCCTATTTCAGGTCCCCTTCTTTTCATAATCGTATAAATGACTTCCTGTGCCTAATTCAGAAATTGACTGATATCGTCTTGTTTGCCGATGATACTTCTCTTATTTTTGAAATACCAAGACCAGTAGCGGGTATAGACAAGGTAAATATAGGTTTGTTCCAGGTTTTGCATTGGTTCACAGCTAATAGCTTAGGGTAGGCAGTGCCATTTGAGCAGGCATCATGGACAGGCGCGACGCTTACCACTGCACCGCAGTCACTTAGTACCACAATAAAAAAAAACATTTGCTGATATTGCCGCTGTTGGACATACACCGGTATGCTATGAAGCATACCCGTGGTGAATTTGATCATCTTGGTATGGTGATCGCAAAAACTGTGCAGGTAAACACATGCCCTAGGCAGTTTTCATGTCACATCTTCCTACCATATACAATAAACCATATTTCAATAACCCTGGGTTTTACACATTAAATTTTAAACGGTTTTACTGTAAATAAAAGCAGAGTAAACACTCTTAAGTTTAAAGCGAGATGTGTCATTATACGTACAGTAAAATTTACCACAATAATACACGTATTCTTTGTATTGAAAATGTTTTAAAGAAATTCTACCAACAATATGTCTATTAATAATTGTAACAAACTAGTGGAGTAATTTCACAAAAAATAGTAGAATATCATGGTGGTTCAACATTCTGATATTCAATAAAAAAATTTAATTACAGTTAATAGTGACATCTCCAGCCAGAGCTGGTAGCTGTAAAGGTAACAAAATGCTTTGATATGAATATTGGTATAACTGCTCACGCGATACATGCAGCCGTATACGCATACCACACCTAGAGGTGCCGGTGATGATTTTATACCGATTTATCGGATATCGAAGTTATAACAGGTAAAATAACTAATACTAATTGCTATTTCGGTAACTACTCTAGCAAACCATAAAGTTTTTAATGCCTGGGTCTGTCATTTAAAAAAATAAACTACTTCAAAAATACGTCACGACAATCGGGTGTGTTATGTTTGGGCTGGTGATTTCGGTGTTTATTTATTGAAAACATACCGTAAGTAGCGTTTTTTAAGTTTACCCTGAATATAAATGTTTATAAACTATACTTTAAGGAGTAATTTCATGGTAAACGTTAGAACCACTCAAACGGAATATTATCATATTTATCCAAGTACACCAAAAATTTCATTAGTGCTTTATAAGTGCAGGATTTGCTGTGTATTACTGCATTTTATTTGAGATGTTTTTATTGGTAGTATGGAGGGTATTTATTTAGTAATGCAGAATAATAATTTTTATTTATA